AAGAATCGGAAAAGCAAGACAAGCTTTCACTACTCTCAAGTCTGTGTGGAGATCAACAGCACTCAGCATCAAGAATAAGATCCGGATTTTCAATTCCAATGTGAAGTCAGCCAGTGCTACTTAACAAACGGATCGGAGACTTGCACTGCGCGTCATAAAGAGCATCTTAAACAAACTACAGACCTTCATTAACAGTTGTCTTCGCTCAATACGTCGCTCAAGATCAGATGGCCAGCCGGCCAGAAAAGATCAGCAATAGAGATCTCTGGCAATGAGCGAACCAACCTGGCAGGAACCGATTGTGAAACAAATAGGCAGGAAGAAATGGACATGGATTGGCTGGCCATACTCTGAGGAAACAATCCATCAAGTGACATCACTAGACAAGCCATTGCTCGAGTGGAACCCGAAAGGGAAGCGGCGAGTCAGTTGGTCGTCAGTGCGAGGGTGGGGTGACTTGGAGGAGGTGATGTGAAGAGGAGATGAAAACGTGTGGGCAGACTTTGAGCCAGGTGAAGACTGTAGCAGAGAACCGAACGCAATGGAGACGCACGGCTGAAGCAGTTTTATGTTCCTCTAGGAATTAAGGGAAACAATAATAAATGATGATATAATAAATTAATGGGCTCGCCATTGATTCGAGTCCCAGTGCTTTAATGGTTTACGAACTTGCCGGCCGGAAGTTTGTGGGTTCGTAGTCTGGTGGTGTTGGTGGTGCGTTCCTCTGAGGAGTCTTAAACTAGGCTGACGAAACAGCTCTCCACCAGTAATTCCTGGTGGTTTTTTCAGTTGGTCTCTAACTGATATCAATCCGTGATCAACTCGTAAAAACATAACGAACCCTTAGAAAACAAACTATGGAAGAATAAATCCCTACAAGCCAACTCTTAAGTCATTTATCACTTATTACTAGAAAAATAAATGTGAGATATACAAAAAAATATACAAGAAGTTCATTCTAGCAGTAAAAAAATTCTTAGTGTTGCCAGATGAACGATAAACGAAGCGATGCTGTCATTAATGACACTTTGCTATCTGATGCCAACAGATGCATCTAAGGGTGTAATAATTAGCCAGAATTTACAAAATCTCAGCTTATTTCCAGTGACTTAATTACTATAGTTCTTCTGCATGAATGAATTCTTTGCTGTCAAGTGGATAAATTGGTACAGATTTACAAATCGTGTGCAGCATTCCAAGTGTTAGTTGACTTCAATTAGAGAGAACCAAGAGATACTAAGGAGTGTTGGATGATTGTTTCGTCCTTGTTTTGCACGCTTCAGCAGCATGCATTCATGATCTCGTTGAGGATCGAACTCTGAACTTTCAGGTTGCAGGGTGAACTGGCTACCATCATTTCTGACTTCCGCTAATTCGCGATATAGCGCGACTGCCGACCAATGTCACCGGTGAATATCTCTTCTGACTCCTATCTCGGTAGACCCTGCCGATCACATTGAATTTCGTTCGAGTGTGCCGTGTAACCGGAATGTCATGCGTTCGAAACCCGTCGGTGGGTGTGTACTGACGAAGAGTTCCAAACTAGGACGAAACAGTTAGCTGTCCAGTACTCCCTGGTTGTCAACTGTACTCTCTGGTATAAAGGCACTTCACGTGCGGTTTGTTGGATTGGATAAGTGTATGAATTGTAAAAAGACCATACTAAAATTTCTCCTCATATTAGTAGATATCATTATACCTGACACAAATTTTCTAAAACCATCAAATCTAATCTTTTCTTGGACTTATGCGAGTTGCCAAAGTCTTTCAAATTGAAATATGATTATTCAAGTGTTGATTTACGGGGATTTGCTTGGTTACAGGATTTCATCATGAGCTGACATTGGTTAGAGAGAACCATTGAAAAACCTCCGGGGACTACTGGGCATCGACTTGATGTACTTTCTGTTTGTACTTAAGTTGTTGCAGATTTTTGAGTTTTATTATGCTTAAACAGTCTTATATTCTTAGAGTTTATTTGTTCAAACCTACTACATTTTTTTGGCTGATTTTTTCTGAAGTGATGTTGAAGGTGGCACAGTGGTTAGGACTGTCGCAGACCATGCACATGGTCCGGGGTTTGATCCCCTGCCGATGCACACCTGATATCAATGGTCGACCTGCAAAATTTGGGCTACCAATATCACATGCTGAAAATTCCATACTTGTACTAAAAATACGGTGTGGAATCAAGCTATAATCAAAAAATGTTTATCATACAAATTTCTGTGCTGCTAATAAATTTGTCATGGTAGTAATATTAAACGAGAATTTACAAAATCTCAGCTAGTATATAACAAATTTAATCATCGTTCATCAGCATGAGATGGTTAATTCCTACGTTGTTGTCAGGTCGCCCAATTAGTAATGGTAACAAAACCAAGTGTAGATGACTTGAATTTGATAAGCGTATAAAATTATAAAATCAACATGTGTTTACATAGTGAAACTGTTTATCACATTCGTGTTGATTTTGTCAATTCCTGTGAGAAATTGGGGGGGGGGGGTTAAAACTAGGCCAAATTCTGTTTTGTTCCGTCATTCCTGTTCAGACAAATTGGATTCCGTTTTTTGATATGATGTGCTTCTGATCATGTTAGGCGTTCTTTGTGATTTTTGAAATTTTTCTGGATGGTGATTTCGAAATTGTGAAAATCACTTTTGTAGCATGATTCAATACCGTAGCGTGTAGACCGACTATAGCTGATGATTTTTCAACTCTTTCTAGTTCAAATGGATTCCTCGGTGGTCGAACGGAGGCAGCTCTACGGTGTTCATTTCTCCTCATCTTGATTTGCCTCTGGCGATGTTTATCCGATGTATATCGCATGGAATGAGCGCGATTTCATTCACCGGTTTCCTCAGTGGCATGTGCCCAATCCATCTCTATTTTCTGCTGCATATTTGTTGAGCAATCGGCTCGTGGTTCCCAGTTTGTTCCCAGTCAGAGTTTTCTTGTTGCCAATTATTTCTGGCCGGCTGGCCATTTGTTCTTCGGTATGGAGCCAGTGTAGGAAGGAGGCTGTTGCTGATAAAAGTCTGGAGCAGCCTGTGGGAAATCCTTGCCGTGACACGTCAAGTTTCTGACCGGGAGTGTGTAGCAGCGATAATAATCCTCCTGACGCTTAAATCACTAATCATTTTGTAATTTTCTTATCTTGCCCTTCATTTTCCATGTAAATTGAATTGGCTAATTTCAGCAGCAGATTGTTTGAAATATATTGCGCCCCTGTAAAATGTAAGATGCTGCTACAGGACTGGAATACGTCTACCCCTAGCTTAGTGATAGGGAGTGAAGTGATAGAACATGTTGACCACTTCACCAATTTGGGTGGTTGTATCAGCACCAATGGATTGATTGGTGACGAAATCTCAGCACGGATCCAAAAAGCTCGAGCTGCTTTCGCTAACTTACACCGTCTCTGGAGTAGGCGTGACATCCGGCTATCAACCAAGGGACGTGTGTACTGCTCAGAAGTTCGCTCCGTCCTTCTTTGTGGCTCTGAAACATGGCCAATACGAGTTGAAGACATGAAAAGGTTGACTGTTTTTGATCATAGATGTCTACGATCTCTTTCTCATGTTAGGTGGTATAATAAGGTAGGTAATGTTGACGTTAGGCGTAGAGTGTTGGGCAAAGAGGGAAAATCAGTCGAAGAGGCTATAAAGTTACATAGATTGAGATGGTTAGGTCACGTGCTGCGCATGCCTAACCATCGCCTCCCCCTCCCCTGACGGGCATTACTAGCTGATATAGGTGCAGGGGTTGGAAAAGAGTAAGTGGTGCCATGCCACACAAAAACATGGCATCAATCCATGAAATCCTTGACAGTTAAACTGAGTCAGGTAGGGAGATGCAGACTTCCGGGTTGGGGCCCGCCCTCAGGACTCTAAGAATCAATGGCTGGAGACAATAGGTGACATGGCTCAAAATCGTTGTCAATGGCTTATGCAGATGTATTCAGTCTCTGTAATCTTTCATATTCCTTTCTACCATTACTCATTCTGTTTCACTCTTACACCTGTCAAAACTCTATTGATTCTCTTCACTCATATTCTTGTCTACCTTTGTGTGTTATTTGGAACGTGGCAACTGAAACTGCTGCACTTCGGTGCCAAGTTCTACGTTGGAACCAGACAGAGACAAACAGCAGTAGTAAATCACATTTCTTTTTTAACAGTCAAACTCATTCTTTTCAATAAAAAAAGCAACTATTCACAATTGATTTTACATCTATTTTCTTGTTTCAGGTATTCAATAGAGAAGAATTGCAATCTATTGCTGATATATGCATTCGTCATAATCTTGTATGCATTTCAGATGAAGTCTATGAATGGTTGGTATTTCCTCCCAATAAACACATTAAAATTGGTAAGTGACTTCAGTTCACACCGTGTTTTCTCTTCAAGTAGACATGTTGTCACTCACAAAGTGTTATTTATTCGGTTCAAGTATGATCACAAATTGATATTATTTGGAAAGGACCGTTGAAAACCAGCACTGCAGTACTGGACAACTGTTTCGTCCTAGTGCATGGGACTCATCGACAGTTCCCATCCCCACTGGTTGTGGAATTCAGGATCTGCCGGTTACAAGGTGGCGAGCTCGTAGACCATTCAGCCATTGGGACCCGACTCAATGGCCAACCCTTGGATTCTCACTTCTGCCTATTTGTGATTTTAATGCGACTGGCACCAGCCACTGTCATCGGTGTCTAGTATTTGTCCTCACCCCCGACCATATTGGCTACGCCGCCTTCTCACTAGAAAGAGCTCCAGGCAACTCCGTCCTTCAGCCAGTCACTAGCGAGCATCAGATTATAATTAATTCATTCATTCCTGGAGTTTCGGTTCCCCAACCATCTTTATGAACATTTTACTGTCATTTACTTGGGGACAGATCTATACCTTCGAAAACCATAGGCTATTGTTTCCCTAGACTTTTCAAATTGCCTAGTGCAAGTATATATATATATATATATATATATATAGTGTCAAACTGTTGGGAGTGAGGAGTCAGGAATACGCTGGACGACTGATAAGAAAACTCTAGAGGACCTGCATTTCACACATGGATGATATATGTCTAATGTCGCACAAACTCGAAGTATTGCAAGCGAAAACCAACAAACTGACTAAAGAGGCAGGGAGGCAGTGGAAACAGGACTGCAGATGAACTGCAGAGAAGACGGAGGTGATGAAATTTAACCAATCAACAGCAACAACAAAAACCAGCACCAATTACCATCAATGGGAGAAATGTTTTAACAGAGATTACCTCCTTCACTTATCCTGCCAGGAAACATCGTTACACCTACAGGAGGAACGGATGATGTTTAAGTCAGAATCGGAAAGGCAAGGCGAGATACGCCTTCATCAACCTGAAAAACCAGTTTGGAAATCTTCCGCACTGCACTCAGCTTAAGGAACAAGATTCGCATATATCAACACCAATGTCAAGTCAGTCGGTTCTTCTATACGGGTCAGAAAATTGACCAACATGTCACGAAAGGGATTACCAAAAGTCTGTTGCAGACTTTCATCAACACCTGCGCCTTCGCCGGCTCCATATTGAAGATCAAATGGCCAGCCAGGAAGAATAAGCAACAAGAAACTATGGGAACAAACAAACCTACAGGCGAGAGGCGATCGCTCAACAATTGTGTAGGAGAAAGTGGAGATGGATGGATCGGGCATATATTGAGGAGGCCGCCGAATGACATCGCATGCAAGGCCATCGCTCGAGTGGAATCCAAATGGGAAGCGATGAGTGAGTTGCCAATGCGAGAGTGACATTGAGGAGATCGTGTGATGAGAAGGAGATGAGAGATTATAGCCAATCTTGGGGATGACCAGCTGAAGAGGACAGAAGAGTGCGGTGATCACTGCGATGTGTTGTCGAAGCCCTATATTCTACTCAGAACGCAAGGGAAATATATATATATATATATATATATATATGTACATATATGTATATACATATACAACTTCAGCCAGCACAGGTTTTACTATAATAAAATGAACTCATTTAAATTCTCCATAGTGAATCAGGATTTAAAGGTTTAATGATGATTGCTATGGAGAATTTCGGGGAGAGTTGAGTTGTATTGTCTATTAATTAATAATTGTGAAGGATTCCACGATGTCCACCTCTTCTGTCAGTCAATTATTCCTTCATTATTATCGCCTTAAAATCGGGCTCGATGGAGATAGTTTTCTTATTTTCTGTGGTTTGTTCCACCCTTGGATTTTCAGATCTTACGTACGCTTTTTGATGAATTTCATAGGTGTCTGCGTTGTATCTCTCGTGTTGGGCAGTTGTAAAATAGAATTAGCAATATTAAGGTTATGCTTCAGTTGAGTGTTAGGTAAGGACGGGAAATACAATCAACGAGGTTGTGCAGCAGCTACATCGATTGAGTGAGATGGTTAGAATATGTATTACGCATGTATCATATCAAGCCATCAGCTTCCTTGATGATGGCGAATGTTAGTTGACTGGCATAGAATGGATCAGGTTGGAAAAGAGCCAGCTAGTGGTGGTGGTCAAACGAGGACATGGCTTCATCAGTCAATGAAATCCATAACAGTTAGTTTGCGACAACCACCCAGCCAGTCACGTAGAGAGATGTAAACTTATCGACTGGTTGGGATCCTCGTGGTGTTCAGAATCTGTGCCTTGAGACAATCGGTGATATATGGCTCAAAATCCTCGTTATCAATAGCTGGCAAAGATGCATTCACCCTTCGTAATTTGTCGTATCCATCCAATAATAAAACTCTATTGTTCTTCTATATCCTTATCACTCACACTTCTCTTTATTACCTACCTCTCTTATAAACCTCTGTTCACTCTCGTCGGTTACTTTTTAGTGGAGGGAGTATGGCAAGTCGAACTGCTGCATCTGTATGCGAATTTTTATGTTGAAACTCACAGTCAGCCAGTCATTAGTGTTGGTTCATGTATACTATTATTATTGTTCCCTTTAATTCCTAGAGGAACATAGGGCTTCAGCCGTGCATCTCCATTGCCTTCGGTTCTCTGCTACAGTCTTCACCTGGCTCCATGTCTGCCCACACGCTTTCATCTCCTCTTCACATGACCTCCTCCAAGTCACCCCACCCTCTCACTGACGACCAACTCGCCGATTCCCTTTCGGGTTCCACTCGAGCAATGGCTTGTCTAGTGATGTCACTTGGTTGGTTTCCTCAGAGATCTCTGTTGCTGATCTTTTCTAGCCAGCCATCCGATCTTGAGTGGTATTGAGCGAAGACAACTGTTAATGAAGGTCTGTAGTTTGTTTGAGATGCTCTTTATGACGCGCTGGCCAAGTCTCTGATCCGTATACCAGCACTGACTGACTTCACATCGGAATTGAAAATCTGGATCTTATTTTTGATGGTGAGTGCTGTTGACCTCCACACAGACTTGAGAGTAGTGAAAGCTTGTCTTGCTTTTCCGATCCTTGCTTCGATATTCACGTCAGTTCCGTGTGCCTGTAGTTGAAACGATGCTTCCCAGGTTGGTGGGTAGGTAAAAGAGGTTGTTTTTTTCAAGTTCCTCCCATTTATGCTGATCGTTGTCTGTTGTTGTAGTTCTTGACCAGGAATCTTCATCACCTCTGTTGGTTCATGATGACAGCAAAAACAGTATTTTCTTTGAAAGTGTATGTTACCGTGCACATAGATGGTGTAGAGCTATGGGCAGTTCACTTAACGCCTGTTTTAGCAGATATCTTCATGTCAAACCTTGAGGAAACAAAGTGGAAGCATGCAATTAACGAAACAACTTCCTACTGACGATATGTCGATGACACATTTGTCGTGTCCAACAATGAAAGTCATGATTCCTACCTACTCAGATTATTCAACGATACACATCCAAATATTGAATTTACTATGGAACATGAAAATGATAAAAAGTTCCATTTCCTTGATTGGCATTGCCATGCAACGCCTAGAAGATGGTAGTCTCCAGAGGTCAATTTACCGAAAGCTGACATGGAAGGGACAATACCTACATTTTAATAGCTTTTGTCCAAGTAGCTATAAACAAGTACCAGCCAAGACTCCGTATTATAGAGCGAGGAGAATATGCTCTGCAGAGAAACTAGAGAAAGAATTTAAGATTCTCGAAAAGGTGTTGAAAAACATCAGTTATCCTCAAAGATTCATTAACAAATATGGAAGATGTGAAGGCTCAAACATCAAACATATCACAGTTGAAAAAAAGCCTGTCTTCATTCAACTAGATTTCAAAGGTGAAAACATTGCAGCAATGGTCAACAGAAGACTGATTACGTCACTAGCCAGAGCCTATCCTGCAGCTAAGTCGGTTCCGATCCATCGAGCAACATGCTTTTTGGTGCAGTCAAAAGTCAACAGATACCGTTCTCATGTTAACTCCAACTGTGTATACAAATTTACATGTATCTGCGGGAGCAGTTACATTGGGAGAACAGAATGAATGGCACACCTCCGATTTTCTGAACATGTACCGAAAAGCCTACGTCCCCAGTGAATGAACTTTCATAATAGCGTTATTACCAGACATCTCCTCGATAGGGTCATGAGGTGGAAATCACGAAATCCTTTAAAATAAGCAATAGACGAAAAAGCTCAGTTCTCCTCGAGTTTGCATCTAACGCATATCTCGTCTTTATTACGTAACTCCTTTGCCATTGTACGCATACATTTACTTTGTTTAAACTTGAACTGTCTATGTATAAACTATATAAGCGTAACTTTCTGAGCACTGTTCACTAAGTTTGGAACTTCCTGTCAACTGTCAGCCTGTAGAATTCGCAAGTATGTTAAAACTTTTCTGTGCGTGAATTTAATAATAATTTATTTAGGCAGCTAGCAGCTGATGAGAAGCCAACGAAATAAGCAATGATGGTACCATATTATTCTGCACAAACGACTGTTGTTCTCGCTCTTTATTCAAATTCATCAAGGGGAATAAATGCATGAAGTTACCGTGCATTGATTATCTAGCTAAATGTTTTCAGCCATTTTCCATACTGAAAACTTCAACTCTAATATATATAGTTGTAACGACCAGATAACTAAGAGAGGGTTGGCAGGCGTATTACTCGTGTAATAATTAGCGGAACATGATAGGTAGTATATTTGCTAACGGAATTGTCAGTTGGGCAAATGATATATATACAGTTATAGCCAAAATATATTGAAATCTTGACTTGTACATGTTCTTGTATTGTGCTGCTTTAGTCTCTTCCCTTTTCATGTTTCTTATGTTGTTTCACAATGATCTGTCATTTTTCCACTTCACAGGTACTTTTAATTGTCAGGATAACTTTTCAAATCTCACTTTAAGAAGTATCCATCAACCTTGGTGTCTTTTGTTAAGAAGCTTTTGCCATATTGATTGTTTACTTCAAGTTAAACTTTGTCTTTTTTCTCTCTGTTTCTTGTTGTTGTTGTTAATCTTTAGCCTCTTTACCTGGTATGTGGTCGCGTACTTTAACTATTGGCAGTGCTGGTAAAACATTCAGTGTAACTGGTTGGAAGTTAGGCTGGACAGTTGGACCGGCTAATTTAATTCAAGCCATGCAGTTACATCAACAGAATACCGTGTATACATGTCCAACACCTTTACAAGTAATCAATATTATTATTCATTAGTACAGTATTCCTTATTATCTTTTTTGGTGTATTATGCCGCCAATCACTATCAACGGGAGGGATTTGAAAGAGGTTACTTCATTCACTTATCTAGGGAGCATTGTCTCAACTACAGGCAGGTGAGACGGACGAGGATGTCAAATCGAGAAACGGGAAGGCGAGAAACACATTCATCAACCTGAAACCAATCTGCAAATCTTCGTCACTTAGCCTGCATCAACGACAAAGTGATTCGGATTTTCAATACAAACGTCAAGTCAGTTCTTCTATACGGATCAGAAACTTGGCCAGTGGGTCACAAAAAATATTTCCAACAGCCTGTTGCAGACCTTTATCAACAACTGTCTTCGCTGGCTCTATACTGAAGATCAGATGGCCGGAAAGAATCACCAACAAGAGACTATGGGAACAAACAAAACAAGAACCAATCGTTCAACAAATATGCAGGAGAAAGTGGAGATGGATTGGACACTCGCTGAGGAGGCCGCTGGGTGACATCGCGCGTCAGGCCATAGCTCGAGTGGAACTCGTAAGGGAAGCGGCGAGTGGGACGTCCAAGGGTGACATGGAGGAGATCGTGTGGTGAGGAGCTGAAACAGTATGGACTAACATGGATGCAGATGAAAAGTACAGCAGAAGACAGAAGCAAGTGGAGACGTGTAGTTGAAGCCCTATGTTCCACTAGGAACCCCAGGCAACAATAATAATAATAATTGTTATGGCGTTTATTAAATCAAACATCAACCTTAATCTTTTGTTTATTTATGTGAACTGTTAGTATGGATAGAAATTTGTTTGATATTTACCAAATGTTTTTTTACACTTCAGTGCTTGCTTATCTAAAGTGGAACAGTATAGTGTGTGTGTGATGTTAAGGATTACACACGTACACATTGTCGGTTGAGGATGCTAAACTGAACGATAAGATTCACCAGTTGTTTTCGATTGACGTGACTGAGGCATATGTGTCTGTCTGACTGCCTTCCTCAATGAGAAATGGTAGCTGAATTAAAATTAGAATTGAGGCGAATGACAAAAAATGACACATGAAGTCTCTAACTTCTGATTTGAGCAACTTAAGGGAATGTAGGGGAGGTGAATTTAGTTCCACAAGGTGTTAAATGTCAATGATTGGTGAAATGTGGTGGAATGATTCAGAATGAAGCACACATTCATTTTCTCATATTCATCTTCGAAGTTCCGGCCGGACTCCAGTGATCATCATTTAATTGTTTTCTTTGTCGTCTGTTTTTTTTCATCACATCACTCCTAAATGGTCTATTCATGGTATTTATACTTATTTCGACAAACTTTGTGATTAGTATACGTACTTTCGAAAAAAATATAAACAATAACCTTATTTTTCGCTGGAATCGGGGAAGTGAAATGACGCAGGCTGGTGAAAGCCTGCCGATGTGCCTCCTTTCGATGAAAGCAAAAATAAGGATGGGGACTTGGAATATTCGTACAATGTACGAAACTGGGAAGGCTTCTCAGGTAGCCGCAGAAATGAGGAGGTATAAAATAGAAGTGTTGGGAATCTGCGAGAACAGATGGAACGGATGTGGAAGGTGCCAACTATCAACTGGAGAGACAGTAATCTATTCCGGTCACCCAAAAGGACAATCACGAGCATACCGAGGGAGTGGCCATCATGATGTCACCAACAGCAGCCAAAGCTCTCATGCAGTGGGAACCAATCTCCTCCAGGATAATGACAGCCGGGTTCAACTCAAAATGAAAGAAGGTTACAATCATTCAATGCTATGCGCCTACAAACGTCTCAGAACAATAGAAGAAGGAGGATTTTTACAGACAACTACAAACAGTAATGGACAACGTCCCAAATGGCGATATCAGAATCCTGATGGGTGACATGAATGCGAAGCTCGGAGGAGACAATACAGGAAGAGAACTAACCATAGGTCGTGAGGCCCTCGGTGAAATGAACGACAATGGTGAACTCTTCTCAGACTTCTCCGTCTTCAATGATTTGGTGATTGGTGGCAGTGTGTTCAAACACAGGGATATACACAAAACGACATGGATTTCACCAGACGGACACACCGAAAACCAGATAGACTTCATTTCAATCTCAAGAAAGTGGAGACGGAGCCTACTGGACACAAGATCGAGGAGAGGAGCAGATGTGGGTTCAGACCACTATCTAGTACAAGGGACTTTCAAGGTGAAGCTAAAAGCCGTCGTTCCTCACCCCCACCCCCTAATTGGGAATATTCTCCTTGAAGTACTTATATTAGATGGTTGGAGACAATCGATCATAAGAGAAACCTTGCATCACCTAGATTTCATGCTTGTTAGCACTCCACCGTCGTCAGCAAAGGGTATCTGCACTCACCTTAAAAGGAAGTCATGTCCCTGCTTCTAATATTCAAACGCGCGTCACCCAATGCTGCAATTGGAGACGTTACCACTGAGCAGGTATTCGGGCTGGCGACTGACCTCCTGTAGGACTGATTGAATTGAATATTTTCGATTGGACACTAGTCAGTAACTGGTGTCGTTAGAAACATACCTTCCCTATATAGAGCTCTACCTCACGGCACTGTTGAGGTTAATTTGAGTTCTTGGTGTTATATTATAGTTGTTTAATAGAACCGCTAAAATATTGGAGACTAATGATCTCTTCCCCAGCGTTTGGAGTGTTTCGTGATAACGTGTGTGTCCCAACGAAGTTTTTTTATCATCTATGTAGTAAAACGTGGAGATCAGTTTCTGGCGATCACACCATAACCGAATTAAATTTAGTTACCGTAGTGATAACTAGAATCTATGCATTTCTGAGGAAAGTTTTATGTTGCCTTATCAGTCAGTCTATCGGTGTGGAGGCTCATTAGATTTTATTGTATTTCTTCTCCTTCCCTAATACTGATTCTTTAATTAATCAGCTATGCTATACTGTTAGTTCACTGCCATCACTGCATCCGCAAAGAATTAACTGTTGTAGAATTTTAAGCTAAGAAAACTTGAACATACACACGACAACTACAAGTATGTCATTCTTATCACGAGAATGCACGTTACCTTGTAGAGTAATCTGTACATCAAATTTGTGAAGAAATAATTGCCTTCTAGAAAGAAAGTGCTTCAACTCTCATAACAACAACAACAACGAAATTTTGAATGGTACCCATATCCTTAAAATTGATTTTGTTTGTTTTCTTTCTTCCTTCCTCCTTGTATTCTTCTTTTTGTATTATTAAGGAGGCTGTTGCTCGTAGTTTAGAGATTGAATTACCCCTGCTGCATAAACCTGAATCATATTTCAATGAAATGTGCTCCTTAATTGAACCAAAAGGTCGTAATATGGTAAAGAAGTTAAATGAAATTGGAATGATTGCAGTCAGACCAACTGGCGGTTATTTTCTGGTAGCGGATGTCTCTAAGATGAGTAAGTTTTTATCCACTCTAGTGTTGTTGTTGTTGTTTTTGTTGTGTAATCTCTTCTCTTCGTTCCTTCACATTCCAAGTGGAATATAGGGCTTCAAGCTAGAGGCTTGAAGTTTCTGTAACACAGTGTTTATTTTTACAGGATGGGGTTGCTAGCCTCATGCCCAACCTTTCCTCTTTACCAGCCTCATTACTGGCTTAGCGAGGTGCCCGGGGATCGAACCCCGGACCACCTGCTTTGTCGGCAAGCATTCTACCGCTGTGCCACCGATGCACAAATGTGCTGAAGAAAGAATAGTTCAAGCTGGATAGGATTTTTGATTGGACACTAGTCAGTAACTAGTGTAATGTGTCTAGTCCTTTGTTTGATGCAGACTGAATTCTGTCAGTCACGTTTGCCATTTGGCAACTATGCTATTTGACTCGCTATTACGGTGAACTGTGAATTGTTGGTATTATATGGTTGGAGGCAATCGGCCACAGAAAGCCTTGCTTGACCTAGATTTCGTGCTAGTTGGCACTCACCAGTCAGTCAGCAAGGCGTATTTGCAGCCTCGAAGGAACTTACTTCCCTTTTGGGATTCGAACCCGCGTCACCCAATGCCTCTGCTGCAGTCAGAGACGTTATCACTGAACTATTCAGGCTCTTTTTGTGTCATGGATTGACCATTCTCATTGTCGCGTTGTTACGTGATGTCTTTACTATCATCATCAATGTGTGTGTTTGTGTATGCTTCAGTAGTTGAAGTCATTCCTTTTATTTAAATGAATAGCATCAATTGATGCGTGACATGCTTATTTGAAATTTGATTCCTTGCATCTTGAAGTCATCATTACACTACTTTCTTTTCATCTTCCGTAGGGATTGGATTGAGTACTACTATAGCTAGGCGCCTCCTATATACCGACATATATATTTCATTGGAGTATTTTATTCTTCAGGCGTATCATTGTATTTTTTTATCGTTCGGTGAAATCATTAAGATCGTTGCATTATTTGCAGCATAATAATAATAATTGTAAAAGAATGGTTACACTGAACAAAGAATATTCACATTTTTACGATAACCTGTTCTTCATCATCAGGTTCTACACTTATATGCATCCATAACAGTGAATGAATTGGTGTTACTAACAACATTAATTCTGTTTGTATAGCACCGGATCAATAGTAATAATAATATCAATGGATTACAGTTCGATAGCATCAACATAGCACACTATACACTGAATGTCAGAAGAATTAGGAAAGATGATAATACAAATTCATGAATTTATAGTCTCTACTGAACACTGGCCAGGGTGGTAGTAGTAGTATTGGCTGGATGGACTTGTTTCTCTAAGTACGGTGGAGCCAGTTTACTGTCTGCATTAACTGAGGTTCTAGGCAGCGTCGACGAATCAGAGGAAGTCCCATCGGGTTGGTGTAAGTCACTGATCATCCCTATATACAAGAAGGGAGACAAGTCTTCTTGTGATAATCACAGAGGGATTAGTTTGACTAATACAGTATCTAAAATCCTAGGCTCAATAGTATTGCGTAGACTAAGTGGTGCTCAGGAGGCACAAACACGAGAAAACCAAGCAGGTCTTAGACCACGAAGAGGGTCTATTGATCATATCTTCACCCTTCTACAGATTCTAGAACATAGGCATTCTTATCGGCGTCCAACAATCATTATATTTCTTGACCTAAAGGCGGAACTCGATTCTGTCGACTGAGAGGTACTCTGGCGATGCTTGGCTGTAAAGGGAATGCCGAGAAAATGCATTGCACTGATTAAGGCACTCTACTCGAACTCATGCAACCAGTTGAGGGCTTACGGCGAGTTGTCATGTGAAGTGGTGACGACTGGTGGTGTCCTTCAGGAAGGAATGCCTACTATCCCCATTTCTATTCAACTTCATCATAGATGTACTAATGGACTTAACTCTAACTCACTTCAGAGACTCAGGGATTGACTTGCTACCAGGGAATATTAGTCTCGTTGACTTAGAATATGCAGATGATATAGTCCTTCTAGGCGAGGACGCTGACAAGATATAAAGTTTTCTGAACACCTTGAGCTGCAGTCGACGAATGTTTGGCTTGCGATTCGCCCCCGCCAAATGTTAGATGATGCTACAGGACTGGGCTGCACTGACTCCTAGTTTAGAAGTGGTAGAGTGTGTTGACCACTTCACTTATTTGGAATGTACTGCTCAGGAGTCCGCTCCGTCCTCCTTCATGGCTGTGGGCGAGACCTGGCCATTGAGAGTGGAGGACATGAAAATATTAGCTGTCCTTGATCATAAGTGCCTGCGTTCTATCTCCCGTGTGAAGTGGTATTATAATGTGAGCAATATTGAGGCTAGGCGTCCAGTGCTAGGTAAGGAGGGAAATCAATAGACGAGACTGTGAAATTACACCGACTGAGATGGTTAGGACATGTGTTACGTATGCCTAGTCATCGCCTTCCTCGACAATGTGCAATGTTAGCTGATATAGGGTCAGACTGGAAAAGAGCTAGTGGCAGTCAAACGAAAACATGGCACCAGTCAATGAAATCTACTACAGTTAGTCCAAGCCACGTAGGAAGGTGTAGACTGGCTTCCTGGTTGGGTTCCTCGGGACGATAAAAACCAATGGTTGGAAACAATTGGTGACATGGCTCAAAATCGTTCTCAATGGCTGGTGCAGATGCATCCACTCCTTGTGACTTATGATTTCCAATGAAACTGTTTTGTTCTTCGTTATTACTATACCTTTGTCTCACACCTCTGTTTACTTTCTGTATTATAATAATAATAATAATAATTTGCTTTATTCCAAAACAGTACTTGTGATACAGAATGGAATTCTCAGCATTTTTACTACAGTATTGCATCCAGTTAATACATTATCAATAAATAGAATTCTACATAGATTAAGGAAATCTCAGTTCATTATTACAACAACACATTGGCATGTCGGTAGCAAAGCCAAAGTTGAACAATGTTTGAAGGTGTTAGAAAAGTAGGTGCTATCATATTTACTGGCGTAAGCGAGAGAAAGAAACAAAGCAGGACATAACGGAAAAAGAAGAGAGAGAATAGGAAAAGGAAGAAAGAAAATGTTGTACCTATAAATGATATGAGTTGGAAGGATGAGGTCCAGTTGTTCTACTGACTATTCAATGAATTATAGGTGTCACGCCTAATGCTTTCTTTATCACACAGAACACGAGCTAAGTAGGGTATGGTTGAGTTTTTGTACTTGCTGGTGCGAGCATATACTTTTCTATATAGGCTTCTGGTTTTACCTGATGAGATGCAAGGGGAGAGTTGTGAGTGAAGAGGGTGGTGTGAGTTAGATAAAATGGATTTGGCCCATTTTTCACATGAGTCCATGTGCCTGTCAACCAGAATATTAACAAGCTGGTTAAGTGGCACGTTGCTTACTCTGCTGACAGCATTTAACATCCTGCGTAATATGTTATAGTCTTTCTTCAGTAGCCCTGGAAAAACTAAGTGGGAACAATAGAGAATAATAGGTAGGATGCGAGAATTAACGAATTGTAGGAGTAAGGGTTGGGTAATACCACAATGTTTTAACTTCTTAATGTAGAAGGTAAGATGGAATATTTTCTTAGAAATCGCTAGGATATGAGACGACCAGGAGAGATCAGCAGATAGAATGACGCCTAGGTATTTTATTTCCGATTTAGTTTCTATTTCAGTGCCGTCTATGTTGCATACCTCGTGAGAGCCAAACAGTTTGTTTAGGTCGGATTTATGCCTAAAGGTGAAATTGACTGTTTGGCATTTGGAGGGGTTTAGAGTAAGACCATTTGCCTTGGACCACTGGCTGATTTCTGACAGAAAGCCATTAAGTTTAGAGCAGTCGCTTTGACATTTGATAGGCAAAGATACAGACAGATCGTCAGCGTATTTGACAAAATTAATGTCATTTGAAGATGGTAAGTCATGTAGAAAGAAAGAAAAGAGAAGTGGGGAGAGTACAGCGCCTTGGGGGACTCCGGCTTCAGTGAGTGCAGCAGAGGATGATTTACCTTTGTATACGGTGTACTGCATTCTGTTAGAGAAGTAGGAATGCAACCAGTTAGTGACCCAGGACTCAGTTTTCGTCAAAGAGAGCTTATTTAGCAGGAGACATCTAGGAACAGAGTCGAAAGCAGCAGTGAAGTCAAGAAACGTGCAGCGGACGTATTTGGCACCTTTATCTAATGATGAGACGATGTTGTTGTGTAAGACAGCTGCAGCGTCTAAAGTGCTCCTACCCTGTCTATAGGCAAATTGTTTTGGGTCTTCGAAGTTTTTAAGGGAGGGTTCGAGTTTAAGAAGTATTAGTTTTTTCATAACCTTTAGGAACGGGGAAGTGATGGCAATGGGTCTGAACTTTACGTTCTTGCCGTTTCCAGGTTTGGGGACAGGGACAATTTTGATGTCTTTCCATGCATCAGGTACGATATTTTTGGAGAAAGAGGCATTTAGGATGTTGGTTAGTGGAGAACACAACACATCTGCACATTGTTTTAGAACATAGGCAGGTATACCATCAGGACCTAGGCTACGTGAGGGCTTGAGTGTTTTAAGACATTTTAGAACATCGAGAGTATTAAAGTCATGAAAGTTTTCAGCTACATGATAGGTAACATTAGAAGTAGTTAAAGTAGAAGGACAGCGTATAAAAGACTGATTAAGAGCATTAACATCATAAGAGGGAAAAGTATTACAACGCTTACTATAACCAGTAATTTCATTAAAAAGTTTCCACATACTGATTGGAGATTTACATGATAAAAGTGTATCATTATACATAGCATTAAGATTTTTGATTTCAGATTTGATTTGAGCATTAATCTTTTCGGGTCCTAGCTTGTCTTCGGATTTGTACAAAGTTTCTTTTTTCCTGCGAAGTTGTTTGAGATAAGGAGATGAGAAGCGGTCGAGACGTTTGAATAGAGTTTGTTTGGGACAGCATATATCAAGGCAAAACTTGAGATAATCCGTTATATTGACGATTGTGTCATCTAATGAACTTTCATGGAATAAATCCCAGTTAGTGTTTTTTAACATGCACCTTAGATTGAGTAAGTTTTCGGATGAGTAGCATCTTTGTTGTGCTTTCATAGACAGATGCGAGAAGACTTTAATATGTGTTTTGCTGTAAATTTTTGGTAGAACACGAACAATAGAGTGATCAGAGTTGAGGATCGGTGCACGTTTACGTGCTTCATAGATTCCTTCGTCATTTGTAAAAACTAAATCCAGTGTTTTGTCTAGTCGAGTGGGAAATTTGACAATGTTAGAGTGACCAAGTGCTTCAAGGAAGGAGCAATCTGACGAGTTGAAGTCCCCAGTAATAACAGATAGAGAGTTATCAAAGTTGGCAGCAGAAAACATGGTGAATTCATCAGCAAAATTTGAAAGATTAGATAGTGAGCAACTTGGAGAAATGTACATGTTTGTGATAAAGATGTGTTTATATTTGGGGAGATGTTTGGGACGACATTTGACGGTGATGCAGTCTATGAAGTCATTTGAGAATGAGAAGCAAACATTATTAGAAATAGACCATTTTGAGTTAATGAAAGTTGCAACTCCACCCCCACTTTTCTTATTACAACATATTCGGTCTTGTCTAAATAGGATGAAGTCCTTTAGAGAGATGAGATTGTCATCGTACAGTTCGTGTAACCATGTTTCTTGTAATGTGATTATCGCAGTATTGTGATAAGTGTCAGTGGACATCAAGGATTGTAGGTACATTATTTTGTTAGGCAGAGAGCGGCAGTTGGTGTTCATTATGACAGGGACCGTGGTTAAGTGTATTGGTGTACGTTTAAGAGCTCTTTGCCAGCCACTACGATGCTTCCTCCTTGATTTCTTGGGAATATGAAAGTCATTGGGTCGTAAATGAATGATAAAGTTGCAAGAGTAAATAATCCTTTTGGAATTCATATTTGAGTGATAAATAAATGGAGTAAATGGTAGGTTGGATGCAATATGTAGATTTTATGATAGCAGGCCCAAAAATTCAAACAGGCCGCCAAGGTCAGTACCTCTTGGTGATGCATTATGCATTTCTTCTGTTGCTTTGTGTGCTACATGGAGTGTGGCTGCACATCGGTGCAAAGTTCTATGTCGAATACAGACAGACAGACTCAGAAACAGTTACCTCACAAATTGAGACAAATTGCCATCCATTGAGGATAATGCTTTTTTACCACATGTGTTAGTCGAAACTCGAGAAACTCCAGGTTGTGAGCGTTTTAAATATTCGCCAGAGTGAGCAGTACTTCGAAAAGTCATATTTTAGTAGATTTAAACAAACTGAATAAAAGAAATTATCGGCAATATATTGATGGAGGTTGTTTTCTGTGGGGAGGCCGCCAATATTCAGGGGAAATGGAAATACACCCTATACAATTTAATATGAACGATATGCCTACTGCTGATGTTCGTGTTCGAGAACAATGCGAGGACCGCATGACGATTGATGATAGCACTGCGACTGGGATTCGATACGTTGGTAGTAAAGTCGTTTGAAGGACCGAATACCGATACTAATTGGTAATCACCTTTAACACCCCAGAGGCGCTGTGCCAGATAAAGATAGAAGACAGGCTGGTTCAAGTTGGTGAGAACGATTGACTTGTATTTTACAAAAATTGCGTGTTATGAGAATACTATGTACCTTGGAAAGTTGAGCCAACAAACGACTAATTTTATTGGCCGGATAATTTCAACTTTCAAGGTCGTTGAGTCGCATTATTAACAATAATATTCTGCCGTAGCATAATGATTTAAATTTGTCCAGACTGGCTTTATCTGCTTTTAAGATTAGGCAAACCTAGGCGTATATGACACAATTTTTTTTCTAAACTTTCTCTAATAAGGTCAATTAACCCAAGATTGTGTCATCAATCCATCAGATCCTTGGGTGTTAACCTGATCAGTGTAGACAATTGTTAGTTATAGTGATCACTCTGAATACACCAGGGTGGAAAGTGTGTGTGTGTGTGTGCGTGTGTGTTTCTCCTGAGAACTGATGTATTTTATTCCACTTGGTTAGATAAAATTCACCTTGAACCCGATGAATTAATGAGATATGGACATTAGCTGCACATTTGAAAATTTATAGTATTCAGATACTTTTCGTAAGGCGGTTTCTACGTTCTCTAATTTTTTAATTTTGTTTTTTATTTTTAGATGTTCCCTTGAATGAATTAGAGCAAAATGAATTATTGCCATATGATGTTAAATTCAACAATTGGATGATGCAAAAGAAAGTGAGTATCAATTTTGAATTTTCACAAAACAGATATCATTATTATATATTACTGTTTCCTTAAATACCTAGAGGAACATAGGGCTTCAGCCGCACGTCTCCACTGCGTTCAGTTTCACCGCCAACGTCTTCACCTGTCTTCACGTCTGCCCACATATTTTCATCTCCTCTTCACATCACCTCTGTCTCCTCCATGTCACCCTCGCACTGACGATCAACTGACTCGCCACTTCCCATTCGGGTTCCACTCGAGTGATGGCCTGCACTGCGGGTGATGTCACTCACTTGATGGTTTGTTTTCTGAGAGTATGGTCAATCCACTTCCATTTCTTCCTGCATATTTGTTGCACAATTGGTTCCTGCTGGGTCGGCTCACTCCCAGAGTTCCCTTTTGTTGATCTGTTTCTAACCATCTGATATTGAGTGGTATTTAGCGGAGACAGCTGTTTGTTCGGAGTACCCTTCGTGACGTGATTCATAGAGTAGCACTGACTTCACATTGTAGTTGAAAATCCGGATCTTATTTTTCCTGCTTAGTGGTTTTGATCTCCACACAGACTTGAGAGTAATGAAAGCTTGACTTGCTTTCCCTATGATCCTCAGATTTAAGTCTTTTTATGGTCAAGGCTTCATTGAAATTATGTATGTGACCCAACGTTGTGCTATATATGAGTTTAAAGGTATTATTGAAGCCAACCTTGTGACCCGTTTCTATGGTGTACATCTATTTCCGAGATCACTTGTATCCGTTGGTTTTATATGTCGTTGGAAAATATTCTGTTACCCTAACCTGCAGAGACTGGTGAGTCCTCCTCATGTATGTGTGTGTCCATACATGCATGTAAATTGGTAAACACAGTGGTATGTAACACTATTGTTCGGATGCTGTGAGGGTTTACAGGACAGTATAGATCTCGTTTTCTGTATGAAAATTAGTCTGGCTGCATGCTAAGTCCTTCTGATTGGCGTCTTGAGTCTTTCTTAAGTGACCAGTCTTCGTTCATTACCCCTGAATGGCGAGGATATATAAACATCCTTTTTAGGATCTGAATGGATCCGTAGAGGTCTTTTTTGATGTGGTTGTGTTCTCTGAGCTGGATAGTTAATTCGCGAAGCTTTCATCACCCTACTGGGTGACATCTTCAGCTCATACTTCAATTTCTTGAAGTGAGCTTTTAGATTTCTCCACGAGTTTATTAATCATCTCTCCCGGTGACCTTGGACGTGATTGGTTGTTTTTGTGCGTTTTCATACCTTCTAGGCTACTTGTTTTATTGGAACTGATTGTTTCTTTGACTTGAACTTTGACCCTTTGTGTGTGAGGTTTCTTTCTTATCGGCTGATAAATCAATAGACACATCGAGATAGACAAAATTTATCAACCGATAAGAAAGAAACCTCACACACAAATGGTCAAAGTTCAAGCCAAAAAAACAATCAGGTCCAATAAAACAAGTAGCCTAGAAGGTATGAAAACGCACAAAAACAACCAATCACGTGCAAGGTCACCGGGAGAGATGATTAATAAACTCCTGGAGAAATATTAAAGCTCACTTCAAGAAATTGAATTATGCGCTGAAGATGTCACATAGTAGGGTGATCAAAGCTCCGTAAATTAACTATCCAGCTCAGAGAACACAACCACATCAAAATCATCCACCTGAGCTACAAATCTTCTCCATCATATGTAGAGGTCTTTGTTTGACACTTCTGTACCGCTTAATGAATTTCAACGGCTAGTTGTTGTCTAACAATATTTCAGTGAGTTGTTGTGTTTCTTCTTCAAGTGTGTTGACTGTACTTGTATAGCGACTGCGTCTGAACAAGCACTTAACCAACAGGTTTTTGTACTGTTATTATTATTGTTCCCTTGGGTTCCAAATGGAACATACAACTTCAACAACACATCTCCACTTTCTTCTGCTGTCCTCTTTAGCTGGGCTCTCGATTGCCCATAACCACTCATCTCCTCCTCGCCACATGATCTCCTCCATGTCACCCTCGCACTAAAGACTCACTCATCGCTTCCCATTGGGGTTCCACTTAAACAGTGGCCTGCATTCAGGGCGATGTCATTTGACGATCTCCTCAGTGGTATGTGCCCGATCCATCTCCATTTTCTTCCCAGATGAGTGAAGTAGGCAACCTCTGTTAAATCTCTTCCGTTGGTGGTGACTGCTGCTGGTTGTTGTTGCTGTTGGCTGGTTATCTTTATCACCTCCGTCTTCTCTATATTCATCTGCAGCCCTGTCTTCGCTGCCAGCCTCTTCTGCCAGTTTGTTGGTTTCCGCCTGCAAGTCTTCGAGTCTGAGTATCATTAAACGTAAATCATCCATGCGCCAAATCCAAATCTTCTAGAGTCTTCTTATCGATCAGTACAGCATAGTCCTGTCGTCTCACTCCCCACACTCTTCTCCAGAATCCAGTCCACCAGAATTAAGAATACCATCGGTGATAATAGGCAGCCAGCCTTGTTTTACTCCTATATGCACTTCGAACGCCTCGCTGAGTTTTCATTGTGGATCACTTGACATGTGACATTGTCATATAGCCATCTGTTGATTGACGTTGATAAAGATTTGGGCACTGCATGCCATAGTGTTGAAGAAGTTTCTAAATTTTCGATTTACGCTGCCTGTCGAAGGCCTTCTCTAAGTCGATGAAGTTGAGGTGTGACTGCCATTTTATGCTTTGTTTGATGATGATGCGTAGAGTTGCAGTTTGATCAGCCCATGATTTGCCTGCCTTTCTTGAATCAACCTTATTCCGGTGGGCAGATTTCTGCATCCGAGGCATCTGTTATTCTCATGACGATGATACGACCTGGTACAAAAACTCAACCATACCCTACTTAGCTCGTGTTCTGTGCGATAAAAAAACATAAGGCGTGACACCTATAATTCATTAAATAGTCAGTAGAACAACTGGACATCGTCTTTCCAACTCATATCATTTATAGGTACAAGATTTTCTCTCTTTCTTTTCCTATTCCCTCTCTCTTTTTCGTTATGTACTGCTTTGTTTCTTTCTCTCGTTTACGCCAGTAAATATGACAGCTCCTACTTTTCTAACACCTTCAAACACTGTTAAACTTTGGCTTTGCTACCGACATGCCAATATGTTGTTGTCATAATGAACTGAGATTTCCTTAATTTTTGTAAAACTTCTATTTATTGATAATGTACTAACTGGATGCAATACTGTAGTAAAAATGCTGAGAATTCCATTCTGTATAACAAGTACTGTTTTGGAATAAAGCAAATTATTATTATTTTACTTGGCGTGAACAATAGCATTATTCCACACCAGTTCTGGCAAAGGCCTAATTGGTTCTTCTGTGGTAGTTTCACAAGGTAGTCCTTCTTTCAATCAATAGGTAATTTTATTTTCCTCAAAATGTTTTACATTGGTGTTGTCAGCATATCTGCTGCGATTTCTGGATCCGTTTCCAGTGCTTCAGGAGGAATTTTTATTCGGTCCTGCTGCCTTCCCAGACTTCAGTAACTTGATTGTCTTGAAGATTTCTGGTTTCGTTGGAGGATCGGTGTCCACTGACAGGCAGTTCTCTGCGTGCTGTTGTTGGTGGTTGTATTTCTGGGCGAATTGCAGGTGACGGTTGATTCATGAGTCCTTTGGAGTGATTGGCCCATTGTTTTAATTTTGTCTCCTCTTTGCTAATTAAGTTCACTTGACCGTTTTCCACAGGTTTCATCTGTGTTTCTCCCTTCCCAGATTCAAAAAGAGAGCTGGCTATCTGATATAATGTCCTGAGTTCTCTTTCACGTGCTGCCTGCTTGCCTGTTCTGCTGCAGTTGCCAGTCTTTTTGTCGTAGAATTGTCTTTTGTCCTTCCTAGCACTCTTCTTCTTCTTCACTTCTTTATTCAGTGCAGTGTACTTTGACTTCAGCTTCTCCTTCTGTCGTCCATCTTTGCATTGGTCCATCTTGTCTTTCACCTTCATCCTCTCTTCTATTAGCTTCAAGGTAGGTGTTCGTTGAGAGCCATTCATTGTCTTGTCTCTTCTTTCTTCCTAGAAGAGTTGTACACGTTTCCTTGAACGTCATCACCTTCAGAGAGTTAGTTCCAATGTTCTTCCACGTAGGTTCCCTCAGTGATGCCAAGTAGCCTATCTGACTTTGATCTGATCTGTAGTGAAGGTATCCCTTATAGTTTTGTCCTTCAGTTTCTGAATGTTGAACTTGAATTACAGTGGCCCGTCTCCTTTTTTTCATGGATTTCAGCTTCACCTTGAAGGTGCCTTGCACTGATGATGGTGTGATCCCACATCTGTTCCCATTCGCGACTTTGTGTCCAGCAGACTGACTGCGTCTCCACTTTCTTGAGATTGAGATGAAATCTACCTGGTTTGTGGTGTGTCTGTCAGTCAAAATCCATGTGTCCCTGTGTAAATGCTTGTGTTTGTACTCGCTGCCTCCAATCACGAGACCATTGAAAGCGCAGAATTCTGCAAAGAGTTCTTCATTGTCATTCATTCCACTAAGAGCCTCTCGACCCATTACGAATTGTCTTCCTGCATTGTCTGCTCCCATTTCCGTTGGCATTCATACTGCCCATAAGAATTTTGATGTCACCATTTGGGATGTTGTCCATTATTGTTTCTTGTTGTATATGAAAATCTTCCTTCTTGTCTTGTTCCGCTTTGTTTGTAGCTACGTAGCATTGAATAATTGTAACCTTCCTTCCTTTTGAGTTGAATCTTGCTGTCATGATCCTTCAGGATGAAATTTGTTCCCACTGCATTAGGGCTTCGGCTGCCGCTGGAGACATCATTATAGCCACTCACTCAGTGTGTTCGTGGTTGTCGTCTGGGTGACCGGAGTAGATTGTTGACTCTCCCGTTGACAATGTTGTCCATCCACATCCATTCCATCTGTTATCTCAGATACCCAACACTTCTGTGACATTTCTTCTAATTTCTTTGGCTAACTTGCCAGGTTTCCCAACCAGCCTATCGTACATTTTACGAACATTCCCCGTCCCAATCCTTATTCTTGCTCTCATCGAAAGAGGACACATAGGCTGACTGACTGACTAACTGGCTTGCCTAAGGCTGGCTTTCACCAGCCCACTGTGTCATTTCATCTCTTTTCAGTTCCAGCGAAGAATAAGTTAGTTTTTATGGTTTTTTGTATTTTTCATATTTTTCTTGTTCGCTGCAGTTTCTGTAGCAGTTTGATTAGTTTTTTTTGGGAGGTATTGTCGGTAGCCTCACGCTTAACTCTCCGTCTTCACCTGGGCGTGGGATTGGTTAGAAAAACTAGGCGAGATTGAAAGCAGTGCATCGGTCAGGGATTGTGAACGCCTTACCAACCACTCACTTGGTGATTCTACCACTGAACGCGAACCACCAACAAAGTTTTCTTTTCTTTAAATTTCCACTTTTTTTTCAACTTCTACAACTCTGTTACTATTGTTTTTTATGTGTGCTTTTCTGTGTAATTATTATCAGGGTGTTTCTGCAATTCCAATGAGTGTTTTCTACTCTGAATCCAACCAACACCTCGGTTCAAACTACTTGCGATTTTGTTTCTTCAAGGTAAATCCCCTCAATTTTTTGTTTGTTTGAATATATATTTGAAAATTTAACTTTTTAAAACGCTTTGTACATTAATCAACACATATTTTCGATATTTTTCCTTGATTGTTCTATAATATTTTGATTTACTGGATAGCTGTTTCATCCTAGTAGGGGACTCTTCATCAGTACGCACCAATCAACTGTGTTCAAACCTAGGAAATCCCGGTTACAAGTTGGTGAGGTCGTAGACCATCAAGCAGCCACCCGACCCGATGGCCAACCGCCATGAATTCCACTTTTATTTTGATGTGGTTGTGTTCTCTGAGCTGGATAGTTAATTTGCGACAGAGAACACAACCACATCAAAGTCATCCACCTGAGCTACAAATCTTCTCCATCATACTCCAACTTCTGCCAATAATTATTCACGATATAGCGCGACTTCTTTTTATAATTTTTAGCTGAGTGTTGACTAGTTTCTCAACTCATCTAATCATATATATTATTTTAATCTGTTTATGAGTCAAGCATTTGAATAGACAATATTGCACAATGGGAAACTTACGGAATCATTTGAAGTGAGGACAGGAGTAAGACAAGCTGGCTGGCTGCCTACTATCGCCAATGATTCTCCTGATTGCAGTAGATTAGATAATGCGACAGACAGCGAGCTGGGCAATGAGGAAACAGGCATAAAATGGACTCACACAAAATACTTGGAGGATCTGGACTTCGCCGATGATATATCTGATTTCCCACAAACTGGAAGATATGCAAGCGAAAAGCAACAAGTTGACAGAAGAAGCATCCAGAGAAGATAAGACTTCCTTCAGATGAACACAGAAAAACAGAGGTGATGAAGATTCCTGGATAACAGCACCAACATCAACAACAACAAGAGACAACAATCAGCATAAATGGAAGGAACCTGAAAGAAACAACCTCTTTTACCTACCTACCTGGAAAGCATCGATTCAACTACAGGCAGGCGGAACTGATGAGAATATCAAAGCAGCGAGAATCATAGGGAAAGCAAGTCAAGCTTTCATTACTCTCAAGTCTGTGTGGAGATCAACACCAGTCAGCATGAAAAGGAAAATCTGGATTTTCAACTCCAGTGTGAAGTCAGTGCTACTCACTATACGGATCAGAGACTTGCACTGCGCGTCATAAAGAGCATCTCAAACAAACTAAAGACCTTCATTAACAGTTGTCTTCGCTCAATACCACTCAAGATCAGATGGCCGGCCGGCCAGATAAGATCAGAAACAGAGATCTCTGGCAATGAGCGAACCAACACAGCAGGAACCGATTGTGAAACAAATAGGCAGGAAGAAATGGAGATGGATTGGCTGGCTATCCTCTGAGGAAACCATCAAGTGATATCACTAGACAAGCCATTGCTCGAGTGGAACCCGAAATGGAAGCGGCAAGTCAGTCGGTCGTCAGTGGAAGGGTGACTTGTAGGAGGTGATGTGAAGAGGAGATGAGAACGTGTGGGCAGACTTGGAGCCAGTTGAGGACTGTAGCAGAGAACCGAAGGCAATGGAGACGCACGGCTGAAGCTCTATGTCCCTCTAGGAATTCAAGGAAACAATAATAATAATATAATTTGAATTTTCTGAGAAAGGTGGTAGAGTCATAGTGTTAGATAGTTGGAGGCAATCGTCCACAGGAAGCCTTTGACCTAGGTTTCGTGCTGGTTGGCCAGACTGATAGAATTCAGTCTGCACCAAAGAAAGGACTCCGCACACGTCGCACTAGTTACTTGAGTCATAGTGTAATATATTACTCATAATATTGACAAAATTAGGCTTGACAATAGTTGTTTCTAAATACACCATAGTTTCACAAGATCAGTGGGCTAATGACTCACAATTAACTAGTGTGTTTTTATGATAATTATCTGAATCACATGTATAATTTGTTTCCCTTTACTTAATTTTTTATTTCATCAGGAGGATTCTACGCTGAATTCAGCTTATGAAATTCTAAAGAAATGGTGACCAATGGTTATGAAATCAATCGCCTGAACAGTCTTGCTCTTTCTCGTGATTGGACACTTCTTTTTTTCCATTTTGATTTATTACATCAACATTGCTAATTCGGTGTGTTTCTTATCTGCTTTTATTTTGATATAAAATGATTTATAACTCCATAAAAGAAAAAATGATTGTTCTGTCTTTTTTTGTTGTTGTTTGTTGTTATGATGTGTCATGATTAGCTGACATCGGTTAGAGAACCATTGGAAAAACCACCACGGAGTACTGGATAGCTGTTTCATCCTAGTATGGGACTCTTCATCAGTGCACACTCACCGCCAGGGTTTGAACTAAGGTCCTTTGGGTTGCAAGGTGGTGAGGTTGTAGACCATCAAGCAGCCCCAGCCAGGTTATGAAGTACAACTTCTGCTAAGTCACGACACAGCGCGATCACTAGCTGAAGATTCCCAGACTAGGACGAAACAGCAACTGTCCAATACTGCTGCCTGGTTTTCCAGTGGTTCTCTAACCGATGTCAACTCGTGATGGAATCCTGTAACCAGTCGTGTACCAAGTCTGGTGTTAACAGAGATTGTTGAAAACTATGGAACATAAGATAGGTGTGTCTCGCACTGTTCGCGCTGCGTCCCACCACATTCTACTAGGGATCGAACTCTCAGGAACGTGAGATTATAAGACGCTTGGTCTGATGACCATTCGTCGACTAGGAATTGAATTAAATGAATTCTAAATTTTTCAACCCCGTGATGAAATAAAAGGCTAGGCTCACGTGGAGATGGCTGGTAGGATCGTGAGGTGCGCACTTCTGAAGAGCTTCAGAATGGTAAGAAATACTTCCTAGTCTAATAGTGTTCAAATTAGACCATAATTAAAATCAGAAGTTAATTGGTGGATAGTGACTAGCAGTGGAATCTAGGATGCGCATTCCGTCCTACTTTTGGGACTCGTCGGCGGCTGTATGTGCCTGCATTCCGCAGTGAGCGATGGTGTTCCAACCGAGGCTCGAATCCAGTGCCCGTAGTTTTTTAAATGCGAAAGCGTTATCCACTTTGGCAACGAGAGCCACCAGTTAACTTCTGGTTAGATGCCCAGACATCGTCGAAGCTTACTGAGTATAATACTATCATCTTGTTTGAAGATATTGATTGTTATTTATAAGCATCTGTTGCAGAGAATTAGTTTTAATTCTGCTTATTTGACACATCTTTCTTTCAAGTGATACTTTTAACATGAATAAAAAACTTAAGGATCCTTGATCTTTCATGGAATGACAATTTTCGAGTATTGGTTAGCAGGGATCATTTGATCATTTACAGGGTTGATGATCATGAGCCAACATCTGTTAGAGCAGTGTTGTAGTTGTAGAACCAGCACCGAAGTACTCAACAACTGTTTCGTCGTCTTCTCCTGCTCTACTACTGATCTGCTTTATTCTATAAATGATATGATATTACTCAAATATATATGAATGTGTTTTTAATATTCGTTTATGGTTATGTCTTTAATTAACGCGCTCATTTTAACTTTATAGGAATAACTAAGTTGGAAAGTTTTCACATTGTTATTTTCAACAAATTCAGTTTATTCAAGTGTTGGTTTGTAGGGATTTGATTGGTTACAGGATTTTCATCATGAGCTGACATTAATTAGAGAACCATTGGAGGAGCTATTTCGTCCTAGTTTGGGACTCTTCAACTGTATGCACCCACCGGAATTGAAACCCAGGACCTTCTGGTTACAAGGTGAGCTCGTAAACCAGGGGTCGCGCTATGTCGTGAATTGGCCTTAATGGTATACGAGCTCGCCTTGTAACCAGAAGGTCCTGGGTTCGAATCCCGGTGGGTGCGTACTGCCGAAGAGTCCCAAACTAGGACGAAATAGCTGTCCAGTACTCCCTGCAGGTTTTCCAATGGTTCTCTAACTAATATCAGCTCATGATGAAAATCCGTTAAAATTCAGTTTATGCTTAAGTATTAGTTTGTAGAGAGATTTGATCTGATTGGTTACAGGATTTCATCATGATTAGCGCTGAAATGGGTTAGCGGAACCACTTGAAAACTGTCAGGGAATACTGGACAGCTATTTATGTTTATTGACATTTCAAAAATCTAAATGAAAAGAAATGACGGGATTTTGCAGATGATTTACGTCGCATATGGGCAGACTTGGAGCCAGGTGAAGACTCTAGCAGAGAACCGAACGCAATGGAGACGCACGGCTGAAGCCGTATGTTCCTCTTGGAATTAAAGGAAACAATATTAATAATAATTACGTCGCATGTGTCTCACACAAACTTTGTGCGATCTGTTGGCGAAAACGGGCAAGTTGACAGGAAAAACGGAGAAGACAGAATTGTAAGAGTTAGTGTAGAGAAAGCAGAAGTAATGAAGACGACGCTTAATTGACAATGGTGACAAGCAGCGATCATCATCAAGGAAGAAAAATCTGAATGATGTCGTCTCTTTTATTTATTTTTTTATTTAATCAACATGGCATCTTTCTTCAACCACAGGGGGCCATCACGGATAAGCAGGTCAGGCAATACAGAAAGGTAACACCGAACTTAATTATTCCGAAATCAGTGTGGAAATACGGTGGATTCAGTCAGTATAAAAGACAAAGTTATTGGAGTTTTCAAAACTAAGGTCAAGTCAACGCTTCTGTAGTTTGTGTTACTGATAAGACTTATCAGTAGTGCATAAAGAGACGTTCATTGGCATAAAAATATCAAATAGCTGGAAGATAGAATGAATGTCAGAGAAAGTAAATAATACAGCGTTTGTGGAGATTCTTGGGAAACGTGAAAGGAATACGAAGAAACACAATGGGAAGGCCAGAAGTAGCACAACAATGCAGATTTTTGCAAATGATACGTTGAACGTAATTCCACTGATACAGACATACCATAATTCTGAATAAACATTCCCTTACCAAGTCCCGCATTTTCCATCGTTACACTTCGTATTGTCACGATACCTAAAGGATTTCTAACAGCTTACTTCTGTAGACTTTCATCAACAGCTAGCTATACTCGATATTGTAAATCAGACGGCTAGTCGTACTGGCTAAGTAACAAGGAACTCTTGGAGCAAACCGACTAAGACCCCAACAAATATTCTGAAGGAAACTGAGATGATTTTGGCAAACGCTGTGAAGACATTCATGTGTTATCACACACCGGACAGGTGCTCGAATGAGATCCAAACGAGAAGCAACGAATTAAGCATGGGTTCAAGGATGTCAGAGTGGATATCCTATGTGGAGGAATTGGAAGCTATTGGGTACTCACATACTCATTTGGAAGTGATGACAGGAGACCAGGTGCAATGGAGCTGTATGCTCCACCCGTGATGCACAGAAAACATGATAATAATAATAATAACAACACAGATAACTGGTTAACGTTTGACTGTAAAGTTTTCTGCAAATCACGAATCCCAATGGGTTTCAGATTTACTGATGATGGAGGATGCAATAGGATAAGCAGTGTTTATTTCATTCAATTTTAGATTTTCCCATCGATTGATTAGACCGAAGTGCTTTGTCTCAGTTTCTGAAGATGCTTAGACGATGTCTGGGCATATACTTAGAAGATAATTGTTGGATGGTGACTAGCAGTGGAATCCAGGATGTGCATTTCGTCCTATTTAGGACTCGTCATCTGGATGTACCTGCATTCCGCAGGTGACCCGTTGCACAAGAGGTGGCCCGAGTGGTCTAGCGGATAACGCTTTGGTGTTTAAAGCTATGGGCACTGGGTTCGGGCCTCGGTGTGAACATCATGATCGACTCACTAGGGGATGCAGGTACATCCAGCTGACGAGTTCCAAATAGGATGAAATGCGCATCCTAGATTCCACTGCCAGTCACCATCCACCAATTAAATTCTGAGCAGTGTTTGCTATGATTATGCACAATAAATTTTGTTCGAAACGTCATCCAGTAAATAATACTGTTTCACTGTGTGATACATCTAATAAACAGTGTTGTTACAGGACTGGACTACGTCTACCCCTAGATTAGAAATAGGAAGTGAAGTGGTAGAGCACGTTGACCGCTTTACTTGGGAAGTAACATCAGCCAGTGCCAACGAGTGGATCTCAGACGAAATTCCAGTACGAATACAGAGGGCTAGTTTCGCATATGCCAGTTTACGCCGTCTCTGGCGTAGACGTGATATCCGACTATCGAATAAAGGGCGTGTGTACTGCTCAACAGTCCGCTCCGTCCTCCTTCATGGCTGTGAGACCTGGCCATTGATAGCAGAAGACATGAAAGGATTAGCTGTCTTCGATCATAGGTGTTTGCGTTCTATCTCCCGTGTGAAGTGGTATAATAAGGTGAGCAATATTGAGATTAGGCGTCGAGTGCTAGTTGGTAAGGAGGGGAAATCAATCGACGAGGCTGTAAAATTACATCGACTGAGATGGTTAGGACATGTGTTACGTATGTCTAGTAATCGCCTTCCTCGATGGGCAATGTTAGCTGATATAGGGTCAGGCTGGAAAAGAGCCAGCTAGCGGCGGTCAAACGAAAACATGGCACCAGTCAATGAAATCTACAACAGTTAGTCTAAGCCACGTAGGAAGGTTTAGACTGGCTTCCTGACTGGTTGGGTTCCTCGGGACGGTAAAAACCAATGGTTGGAAACAATTGGTGACATGGCTCAAAATCGTTCTCAATGGCTGGTGCATATGCATCCACTCCTTGTGACTTATGATTTCCAATGAAACTATATTGCTCTTCGTTACTACTATTCCTTTGTCTCTTACTTCTGTTTACTGTCTATATTATGCATTTCTTCTCTTGCTATGTGTGCTACATGGAGAGAGTGTGGCGACTTGAACTACCGCACATATGTGCAAAGTTCTATGTCGAAAACCGGCCGATACGAATCTTGGAGACAAGTTTCTTGAAGCGTTATTACACCTGTATTACAACATATATTTGAACAAAATAGAGCATCCAAATAATTAATCTTGTTCGATAATGACCTGTTTAGTTTATTAGGAGAAAATTAAATGTATATTGAGGAAATCATAGACACTACTGTAATAATTTCCAAATAATAGCGATCATATCTTCCTTCCTTGTTTCTTATTGGATTCTTTACAGTGTTTTTTTCACTCTCTTGAGTTTCTTCTTCATTGGCCTTTTCCATTGTTTTTCTGAAGGCGTTA